TAAAAATACATCTTATTGACTAACACAATTATGGGGAAGTGTGGTTATTTTAGAAAATAATGTTCTCTCAGAGATAAAGATATAGAATTTATGAAATATAATAAAAATGAACTGAAGTGTGATACACTTATATCCAGGTATTTCAAGTACAAAGCAATATTTATGCAAAATTTTAAAGAATTAATTATGAATGTATGGATATATTGGGATTTGTTTTTTCCCCTCCAAAATATTTTTTATTTTTAATGTGGGAATTTGTTAATTTCATAACTATGCCGTTACAGATTTTGAATGGAATATAGTATACAAATATCTTCATTATATTAGATAATAAATTCAATGCTTCAAGTAATTTTTGAGGAAATTAGCCAGGTTGTTCAAATTTCAAGTACTTCTTGCCCTAAATTGTCTGGAGATAAGATTTTGGGTTTCATATACTGACAAAGACAGACATCCTTGAGCTCTCTGTTCCCCTTTCCCCTTTCCTTAATGAGGTAAGAAGGATCTATTACCCAAAACTCTGGGTTTCCAACCTCTAAGCCATCTGCTCCTTCATGTACTAGATACTGACTTGAGATTGAACGTACTCAAAAAACCCACAAAACAAAACAAAAACCAGGGCTCTCTTTTCAAAGAATAGGCCAAATACAGAACTTCTCATTTGTATTCAACTATGTTTTGTTTTTTAATTTTTATTTATTAATTTTCAGAGAGAGAGAGAGAGAAACATCGATTTGTTGTTCCACTTATTTATGCATTGATTGGTTGATTCTTGTATGGGCCCTGACTGGGGACCGAACCCATGAACTTGGGTTATTGGGACAACGCTCTAACAACTGAATGTCCCGGCCGGGGCCTCAACTATGTTTTACTCATAGAGTCGTTGCAGAGACCTTGTGGGCCATGGTGGTTTCTGGGCACAGGCACGCAGCATTGGTCAATCTCCCTCACCCCCCAACCAACACAAACACAGCGCAATCTGTTATCTGGCAATTTAAATAATTTTTCCCATGGTGCTGCCCCATTACTCTCTAAAACTTGTTTTGAAAAACAAAACAAAACACACCTATCTCTTGGTAAAAAGAGAATGATAAATATATCACTATAACAAAACTTAAATATAAATTTTGCTCATTCATGAGTTTATTAAGCCAACAAATTCTTATTAGCACTGTGGTGCTGGGAACCCCGGGTGAGAAAGACAGTACGGTCCTGTCTTCATGGAGCTTAAAATGTGACGGAGGAGCGCGGTTTTAGACGGGCGCGTGAAGTCCAAGTCCAGGGTGCGGCGGAGCGTAGGGCAGAAGCACCAGGTAAGCTGAGGGGCAGGAAGCCCGAGACCCCCCGCCGAGGACGGGAGGAGCGAGATGGGTGCGTGAGGTGTGTGCCCGGCCCAGCGGCGCGGAGGAGCTCGGGAGAGGGCTCGGCGTTGGAAGGAGCAGGACACAGACTTAGGTCCTTGGGCACGTTTCTTTGTGCTCATAAAACACGCACAAGCTGCACAGGTACATGCTTAGCATTGTTTCTGTTGTTATTGTTGTCCATTTCTTTTTACCAGGTTAGGACCCACCAAATGCCTTTTTTCCTGCAGCCTCTCCTTACCATGCTTTATAACTTACATACACATCACAGATGATCTTATCGATAACAGATATAGATCTAATTTTTATCTACTGAGATAAGTGCGGATTCACATGTAGGTATGCGAAATACTGGAGAGATCTGTGAACACTGCCCACTTTCCCCCAATGGTAACACCTTGTGAAATTATAGTATAATATCCACAACCAGGAGGTTGATATTACTCATATGTTCCCAGTTTTTCTCGCACTTATTTGTGAGTGTATGTGTGTGTGTGTAACTTCTCTACAATTCATCGCCTGTGCACGTCTGCGTAGGCACCATTACAATCCAGGTAACTGCTCAGCTCCAATGCAAGTTCATGTGACCCTTTTATGACTATACACCCCCCAACCCCACACCCCAAACCCAATTCCTAACGAAGCAGCTAATCTGGCGCCCGTGTCGACAATTTGTCATCTCACAGGTATTACAGAAATGGAAACACAAAGCACATGATCGGTTGGGGTTGTTTTTTTTTCCGCTTGGCATAATTCACTTGCGATTCACCCAGGTTGCCGCGTAGACCGATAGCTAGTTCCCTGTTATGCTGAGGAGCTCTTCATGGCAGGGGGCTCCCCTGCTGGTTGAGGGACGCCGGGGTTCTTTCCAGTTTGGCGCTATTATGAAGAAAGCTACAGGGGTAGGTGTGTGTGTGACGTTTCCTGAGATAAATGTCCAAGGCTGCGCCGCTGGGTTCTGCGATAATTCCATGTTTGATTGTATAAGAGGCTGCCACCCGTTTGCCAGACTGGCTGCAGCTCTTTCGTTCCCCCCGCAATGTGTGAGTCGTCCAGTTTCTCCAAAGCCTCAGGAGCGTTTGGTGGCCTTACTGTTTTTTTTTAAATTTTAGCCATTCTGATAGGAGCATGCTGATATCTCACGGAGGTTTTAATTAGCATTTCCTGAGGACTAGCTTAAAAAAAACCGGGCCCATTCCTGTGCACGTTCGCACACGCAGTGTCACGTTCAGGGGCCGTTCGTGTGCTGGGCGTCCTCTTGCGCTCCTCCTGTTTCCTTCCTTCGCCCGGGCTGCTCGCCTTTTCCCACCTTCCTTTCCCATCCGCCTCCTTATCGCCGTTTCTCACCTGGTGCCGCTTCTTAAAACACACTCTCATTACTTATTTTACAACATGTGATTCTTCAGTGTACACCTGGCTGGTGGTTTTGTTTGAAGAATGCAACTTCACAGGAATGCCTTCAGGTTAATTGGCTTAATTAGAATTCTTCCTAGCGACTGCAGATTATTTTAGGGTAAGACTATACCATAACTTGTTCAGCTCTTTTATTGCCAGGGTTCACTGGTTTCTGACTTTGTTGTCATTGTACATGACGGGTTTAAACCGACATCCGAATGTGCCGATAAAACTGTCCAGATGGGACGTGTTCCAAAGAGGCTCACTGAGTCAGGGTATGCAGATTTATTTCCTAAGTTGCCAGTTTTCTTGAAAAAAAAAAAAATTTAAAACAACTCACATTCCCACGAGCCATTAGAACACATGGTACCTGTGCTTGCATTTAAAATAGACGTCAGAGCTCCGTGCAATCTTGGCTGAGTCTTCTTGCTCCTCTGACTTTCACATCCCCGACTGCTTTATAGCTCGAGCCTTTTAAGGTGCAAGAGAAAGTCCTCAAATTCCTCACTGCGCCTCAAGTACTTTCTTTTGTTCTGTGGGCATGTGCCACGAAGGCGGTTTTTAAAAACCACGCCATTGTTTCTTAAACATAACTTATTTCTAGCTTCAAGCACACTGTCGTATATGGTTTTAACAAAACAAATAATGTTTTCCTGTAAGTCATAATTTACACACACATTCTTCTGTCTCTATATTTGGATCTAGCTTCAGCCTCACTCTGCAGAAATTCTTCTCTTGGAAATTAAGACCATTCTCTTTTAACAAAGAGCCCTTCACTTCTCAAAAAAATCTTACATGAGCCACGAAACCACCACTGCTGCAAAAAAATTAATAAAAATAAAAATAAATTTTAAAAGGTTTCAAGTTCAGACTTGTGGGCTATAACTTGGAGCCCGTATTTCTGATTTATGTCAGAACTTAATTCAACATCATTCTTATCTGAAATCACGGACTCTAGGGTTGCCTGTGTGTCCACAGCAAGGCTCAGGACCATTTCAAAAATGTAAAACCGTGCTGAAAATGGAAACTCGAATCGTACCACCAGGAGTGAAAATTATTCTCTATCTTGTGTGGAAAACCAATTTTCTGATTGTCATTGGTTTTAATATGAGACATTTTTCCAGGGCTCAGAAAAAAGTGAGGTGGCTATAAAGAGTTGGAAGACAGTTGGAAGAAAGCATGAAAAGTTGTGGACATTCATACATGATCCTGGAAAGGTCGGGACAGGTTCTGTTATAGAATGAGGGTTTCTATGACCAGTTGGCCGACTTCTGTGCAACTCCAGTTTTAAAGGCAGTTTTAAAGGCAGAAATGAATCGGACAAGTGAAGAAAAGTATAGCGAAAGGAACAAGGCATCCAAGGAAATAGGGACTCGGCGAGACGTTCTAATTGTTTAGTAAAACGGAGATGCGTGTAGGTGAGGAGGTGTGAGAAATTTTATTTAGGCCAACTGACATTACTGATTTTAGAATAATTTAACTTGGTATCACTATTCCTATAAACTTTAACCATAAATAAAGGTGTTTTTTTTTTCCCCCAGAAAGTACTCAATAAAGCTTATACTAAACACTCAGCTATTAGTTTAAATGCACATCTTTCAAACCCTGAGTGCTTTTTGCTCCCATCCATTATAAAATGAAGGCACCATTTCATTAAGCAAAATCTTTAAAGACCTTTAATAAGTCAAGTAATATGTTACATAGCACAGGAACTGCAAAAAATACTGCAACTTCAAACTAAAAACTGTCTGTGTCTCACTGCTCTATGAATTGGGATGCTCAAATTCATTCTGAAATGTATTTACTTGTAGTACGAGAATCCATGAAAGCAACCAGTTGCTCAGTTCTTTTTCGAAGGCACAGGCTGAGCCATGCCACGCTTCTGCAAGGCAGCATTATTACTGCCATACTCAATGCCTCCAGCCGCTCCGGCAAGAACCAGAACACAAGTCATCACCTTGCCCTAACGGCATCTCCCAGGCACTGTTTACTTACTTCTCCAAACTTGAATGGAAACCTTAACAGCCCTCCAAACACCTGGGAGCAAAATCCAGACACGAACATAATAAACAAGCACCAAAAAGTCTGTAGAAATCACTCTGTTGAGCTTCTTACTAAAGTCCTCTACAGTACCCTCTCATCACAATAAGCCACCCCATTCAGGGATGGATCTCAGTCCATCGGGGCCAGTGTCTCAGAAGCAGCTCAGTTCCCTCAAGCGGCAGAAGGGCTATAATTGCTTACCTGACTCGCAGGCAAATGTCTTCGAGGTTTCATCATGAAAGATAATTGCCACGGCATGCTTCTTTGTCTCTCGAGGCAGCCTGGTTATATTTTTGATGTTGTGCAGTTCCGTTACCTTGAAAGAGAAATATTTTTTAACTTAGTGTGCAGCATGTGCTGTATACCAGAGAGCTTACACAAAATGATCGGTTGTTACTCTCTTCACCCATTTTCTGGAGGAGATTTGTGCTCCTTTCTAATTAACTGCACCCAAGAACAATACAGAACAAAGAAGAATGTCTTCTATTGTGCCCTCAGTTTTGGTGATTGTTAGCTGAATTCTGAAACTGTCTAAAATCATGTGGAAGAATAGCTCTGTGAAAGCAAGGACTCTGTGCTTTTATTAAACTTGTATCTTCTGCAGTGTGGTGATTGTGGGAGGGAAAGGGTGGGTGGAGATGGAAGAGGGGATGGGGGATAAACGGTGATGGAAAAAAATTTTTAAATGGCATTGTTCCGTAGACAATAGCAGTTGTGGCTCACAGAAGATTCTCAATACATTTTTTTGTTAAATATTGATTGGATTTAATATCTTACCTCTCTCCTACCCATCATGCAAGTTGCTGGTAGGACTATAGTCCCAATGCAACTAGCACCTGTTGATTGACAGACAAGATGACTCTAAAATTTTGCTGTGATTACATATAAACAATGGATGTGATTCTGTAAAAAATGCACATGGTGTTCAATTTTACCTTCACTTACCCCCTTTTTGATGCCTTCGTTTGTTTATATAGGTCTGACTGCCTAACCTATATTAATTTCCTTGTATCAAAACATTTCTTTTAACATTTCTTGCAAGTCAGGTCTACTGGCAACAAATTCTCTCACTTTTATTTGTCTGGTAAAGTCTTAAATTTGCTTCAGGATAACTTTGTAGGGTACAGAATTCTAGGCTGGAGGGTTTCTCTCTCTCGTCATATTAAATATTTCTCTCAGCTCCCTTCTTTTTTGAATGATTTCTGAGGGAACAATGGATGTCATTCTTCTCTTTGCTCCTCTACAGGTAAGGTGTTTTTTCCCCCTCTGGCTTCTTTCAGGATTTCCCCCGCCGTTATTTTCTATAGTTAGAAAAGTTATATGACTAGGTGTAGTTATTTTTGGGGCATTTATCCTGCTTGGTATTCACTGGGCTTTCTGAATCTGTAGTTTTTTGTTAGACATTAATTTGGGGAAAACTGTCAGTCATTATTGTTTCTAATATTTCTTCTGTTACCTTTTCTCTTCTCCTTCTGGTATTCCCATTATGCATGTATCACACTTCTTATTGTTGTCCCATAGTCCTTGGATATTCTGGGATATTTTGTTTGTTTGTTTGTTTTTGTCATTAGTTTTGGAGATTTCTATTGAGATGTCTTCAAGCCTCATAGATTCTTTCTTCAACCATGTCCAGTGTACTTATAAGTCCGTCAAAGGCATTCTTCATTTTTTAGTGTTTTTTGTTTTATTATTTTTATTTTTTGGTTATTTCCTGGGATTTCCATCTGTCTTCTTACATTGCCCTTCTGCTCTCATACACTGTCTACTTTATCCACTAGAGCCCTTAGCGTATTAATCATAGTTGGTTTAAATTCCTGGTCTGATAATTCCAACATCCCTGCTATGTCTGGTTCTGAGGCTTGTTCTTTCTCTTAAAAATGTGGTTTTTTTTGTTGTTTTTTTTGTCTTTTGGTATGCCTTGTCATTTTTTTCTTGATAACCAGATATGATGTACTGGGTAAGAGACATTGCTATGAATAGGCCTTTCGTAATGTGGTGGTGAGGTGTGTGTGTGCGGGGGGTAATTCTATAGTTCTAAGATTAGGTGTCAGTGTTAGTGAGTCTATGCCTCTGTACTGTGAACCTAACAAGTGTTCCTCAGCCATCCTCAACCTTAGGACGGAGAGAATAGCTAGAGTGGGCAGAACTGGGTACTTCCTTTGTCTTTGACAAAAGTACCTGTTTGACTTGCTTCATCACTGTTCAGTGCCTTTACTTTATCATACATGCTTTAACTTGTTGAAGGGTTTTGTTGAAGGGAAAATATTTAAGTCCACTCATGACTCACAATGCCATCCTAGAAGCACTATCAATCATTAACTAGTGTCCAAAATGGACAAAAATTTACAGATGTATTTCATATTTTTAAAATGTTGGTCCTCCATGATTGAAGATGATACCTCCAATGTTGATTAGAATATGGTAGTATACAATGAGTTAAAATTGTCAATACATGACCAAATATCTGTGTATGTGGCTACTTTTTAAGAGCTTAATGTCGTTTGTCACATTTCCCTCTAAAATCTGCAATGATCTAGACTTCTAGACTCATAAAATAGTAAGACCATTACTCAGGGTTGCTGTGTAGGCTGTTTGAAGGAGTCCTTTTATTCTCTGTCATGATGAATTTACAGTTCTGTCATATTGCTAGAAAGTTAATTTTAATATATCCTTTTGTATTTGTTTTTCTCTCTGCTTGTAATTATCTCATTAGATTAACATGCAAAATTAAAATGGGCAAGATGAGTGATTTTTATTTACATGTATATATATGCAAATACATATATGTATGCATATGAGTATTTATACATATACTATATATATATTCACATACATATACTATATGTATTTCCTATCTATTGATCTATCTATCTTAAAATACTCACTTCCTCTTACACAAGAGAAAATTTAGACACTGATATCTGAGGATTAATACCCTGGGGAGAAAGATGAGAATTTTTTTTTGAACAATGATTCACATATTATATCACATTAAAGCATGTTCTCAAATAAAGTTAAACTCTTGAATTTTTAGATGATTTGATAATTGACTCAAGTAACATTTAAGCCAAATTTTATTCTAACATAGTAAATTGAAGTTATACTTGAAAGAGATATTATTTTCAAGCCTTATTAATTTTAACCAAACAAAGGATTTTACCAAAATTAAGTTGAGTCTAAAAGCAATGAAGATTGCATGTTGCTTAAGAATTCTTGCAATTTATGTCAGGTGAGCATGAAAGTGATATGCTACTATATAAGATGCATTATATGTCATATCAAGCTGTACGAAAGAATATAAAAACATTTATTCTGCTCCAGGTCCTTTTCCAAGTATCTTTATTTACAAATACAAAATATCAGAACAGATATTATAAATTCCATCTTTTTCTCCTCTCATAGCAAAAACCAAAGAAACGAACTAATGGAACTAATGGGCAGCCCATCAACACGCACTAGGGCTTCTCTCACTTCTGAGCCTTAGTCAATCTGACAGCTGATGCAGTTCAAACAAAGTGTTTGCTCTTCTGTAAAATCTACATTTGGAAATGCAGACAAGCTCTTCAAGCACACACTGTTACACTGGTCTGCAGAACAGTGCCAGGCTTTCTGTGGATGGTCATTAGTGTGATGCCACCCACTTCAGTGTGCCCTGAGATATTCAAGAGATGCCAGGAAAGCAAATACTCATGAGGAGTATACAATTCTTCTCACCTGTCTTGGTTAGGAGTTTCAAGTGCTATACTAGATTATAAAACGTTTTCAAATCATACCAGAAGGTTCTCTAAGGACTTTGTATATCTTTGGAACTGTTCCTCTTCAATTCAATATATATTTTAAAAAACATTTTGAGTCGTAACAATTGAGGTCAAGATCTAATATATTTCAATCTCCTATCCTCACTTTTCACTCTCAGTGCCATATGGCTTTACCATCCAGAAGGAAACTGTACTTTCATAGATGAGGACAACTTTGAAAGTGATTTTTTTAATGTTTTAAAATAAAAATATTTGTCTAAACCCAGTCAATGTGACATAAAAGTCATTATCAACATTTATTAAGATTATGAAATCCTATAGCATTTCAATAATATATCAATCAATTGTTGGGTTATTTAATAATTCAATATATACTTCTGAAATATTGATTTTTCACATGGTTATAAAAGCACAAAATATTAATTAAAGTTTAATAAAAGCATTAAAATAGCTACTTTAAATAAATATAAAATTAACCAAATTTAATTGAAGAAAAAATTACTTGAAAATGAATCAGGTTGTTTAGGTCTGCCTCAAGAAATACCATAGTTGACAATTTAAAATATTGAGGTCTAATATGTGATACAATTAAAACCAAAATAGGAACATGACTAAATGATGACTTTGCTAACTGGTGCAATTTAATTTTTTTTCAAAGAGCAATCCCTAAGGAACAGTCAACATTAATCTTATACTTCTCCATCAGAGCTCTTAGGTGACCAGGTGCATTGTTAAAGAGAACCAGATTAAGACAGTTGCAGTTTTAAGCACTTTAAATCTCTCTTTCTCTTTTTGTTTCCAAATAAATAAAAGAAGAAAAAAAAATCTTACTCCCCTGAATATTGTATAGCAGGTTTTAACTGTTTCTTCAGGAAGTCAAATTAGGTGAGACAATAGAACAAATGCAACAGTTAGCATCAAAATAAGTAACTTCATTGGAACTCAAAGTGCATGGTTCCCCAAATTAAAAACCTATCCTCTAATCAATAAAAATCAGTTTAAGTGGCTGCTATTGGCTTGTAACCTAGGCTTGTTAATGATTAATTAAAATTTTAACTTTGTTTTCTGTAGAAGTATTAGATGTAAAAAGGTATTAGAATTTTAAAATACTCTATAAATTTTAACTATATGAAACAGCATTGTTATTTATAGAATAAAAGTTGCTAAAAAAATGTTTACAGTGAGGCACACAGTATTAATTCATGATTGAATTCTCACTGAAGTAATTTTCAAATTGTATGTTGTAAATAAATGTGCATTCAATACTTGAGGTATAATATATAACTTTCCATTAATGGCAGAAAAACAATTTATCCTCAGCGAATCATTATACAACGAGCTTTCCTCCTATCCCATCTGTCAGAGTTTGTACAATTAGCCAGACTTGGTTAATGAGTAGAAAAAGAGATTTTTTAAAAACCAGAAATGCACTGATGATATTCTGCAATAATAATTAAGAGCATGGGTATCAATCCATTAAATGAATGTAAAAATGCTTCAGGAATTATAGAAATAATGTCATAACAGAGTTGTGCGGTTGTGCTATTGAATATTCTTT